AATCTCACTATCTTCTGAGTATCTGCACTGATAGGTATAATTGGCATGTGAAAAACATAACATTCTCAAAGCAGAAACCATGATCTCCCCCAAACACACACACACACAATGATTACTCCAGATTTTTCTCCTATCTCAGTAAAAGACAACCCTATTTTTGGTCAGTTATGCCAGAAACCCTGGAACAATTCTCAGCTGCTCTCTCTCACACTTACTTGCAACCCTTCAGCAAATGTTTGTGGCCCTAGATGGTAAATGCATCCAAGAACACCACACCACCACCTTCCCCAAGCCACTACTCCCTCTCCTGAGGATCATGGCAGTAGCCTAGGAACTGGTCTTCTGCTGCATTTGATCCCTGAGTGCTGCTCTCAACACAGCAGCTGGCGTCATCCACTGCCTGAGTAAGTCATATCACCACACACTTCTTCCCAGTACCTTTTATGTCTCCACGTCCTGCTCAAAGTCAAAAGCAAAGTCACTACCAGGGCCTTCGTGGCTACCTGTTCCTCTGAGCTGTTAGGCACCATCCTCCTGCCCCTGGCTTGCATTTCCCCAGGTGCACTGACCTCCTTGCTCCTGTTGGAAGCAGCAAGCATGGTCCTTCCTCGCAGGTTTCATACTTGCCCTGTCCACTGCCAGGACACAGCAATCTGTTTAAGATTTGATGCATGACGGTGCCCAATGCCACTCTTTGAGTGAGGTCTTTTCACATGATCTGAAAGATTGACTCCTGCTTTTCTAATACTCTCTGTCACCCTTATACCACTCTCTTTCCATTACATTTACCAGGAAATATGCAATATATATGATATATATTGGATATATATATCATTATTATGCATTATATATGTATAAGTATATTCTATATATATTTATATATCATATATGGTATACATGTCAAATATATAGGATACCTATATAACATATGACACATATCATATATAGTAGTTTATGTTTATTATCTTTTTTTTTTTTAAGACAGTGTTTCACCATGTTGGTCAGGCTGGTCTTGAACTCCTGACCTCAGGTGATCCACCCGCCCTGGCCTCCAAAATGCTTGGATTACAGGCGTGAGCCACCACGCCCAGCCTTATGTTTAGTATCTTCTAATTAGAATTTTTGTCTCCACTAAAATTTAGTCCCTACAGTAGATTTCAGTAAGTTTTGTTTACGGCGAAACCCCCAGTACTCAATATGGTTTCTAGAATGCTTAAAACACTTAGTAAATATTTGTTTAATTAATCAGTCAATCCAAACCAAATTGTCATCCAGCTTATGTTTAAACCTAGTGAACAGATAATAATTTATCCCATCTCTAGAGAACTCTGCTGGGAACGTATTGTATGAAATCCAGCATGTTGACTTCTGATCAGCGTTCATATGTCTGTCTAATACCGTCACACAGAACAAGTCTAATGTCTCCTCCTCCGGTTTTTGATGACAACTATCTTCATTAAAGTTGTGCAATGAATTCTGAGGAGAAGACATGCAAAAACAAGCAAAGTTTTAAGCAACATAATGCCTATGACATAGCAGCTCCTGTGGTTATATGGTTATATTGAGAACACTCTTCTTGCTCAATAGCCATTGTCCGGGGTTGATCAGGAGGCGACATTAATGTTCTCAAAATACTTTTTAAGTTAGCTTATAGCCAATTCTCTTGGCTCACTTCCTAGCCAGTTAAAATGCAACAGAGGTGAATCTGAAGCCAGTGTCTGAAAATGGAGCATCCATAAAATAGGCCAGTGACAGTGATATTAAAAGGAAAAGCAATAGTAACAAATAATTGCGAAGATCTTCAAGGTTCAGGATTCCAATAAAAATGTACAAAGCCACGTCAAGTCTTAGGAGATGGCATGGGGTAGTAATTAAAAGTGCAGTCTCAGGAGCTGGTTCTCAGTATTTAAATTCTGACTGTGTCCCTCAATGAGCTTACTAGATTTCAAAATTATTATTTACCAGTGAGTTATGTGTGCCTTCTATTTTATCTGTTTTTGAATGAGAGAGTCTATAGCAGTTATTCTGTACTTTTTCTACCAGGGTATGTTGGGTGAGTGGGGGGGGAGGGAAGAAGAGAGAACTCTCCTCTTGAGCTCACAGGTCTGCAGATGGAGAGGGGCTGTACTCAAGGACTTTACGCAGGAGACACCTGGGGAGCCACATTCACACCTGAACTGGATGCAGATGATGAGATTTGGGGTTTTAAGTTGATGCTATAAAGGGCTGAGACTTTGGGGAACTTCAAGGGTGATGAGAATATTTTGCAGATAGAGAGACATGACTCCTTGGGTGGGGGCATAGGGAAGTATGTGACAACAGCTCCCAAATGGCCTCCCATAATTGCTCCCTCCTAGGATTTATATCCTATGTATTTCCTTCACACATAGAATTGGGGCTACCCTGTGTGGAGAATTCTATGAATGTGAAAATGCATAATTTTTGAGACCACATCATAAAAGGCATTATAGCTTCTGACTTGGGCTTTTTATTGCTTAGTCTAGCAGAAATTAACATCCATGATGCGAGGCCCCTCAAATAGCCCTATGACAGGTCCTCAGTGGAGAGGAACTAAGGCTGCCTGTCAGCCATGTGAGCGGGCTTCCAAGAAAGTAAATTCTGCAGCTTGGCCAAGCCCTCCCATGACTATGACCTGGTTAAATGTTATACTACAATAATACAATAGCATTGCCCTATAGAAAATATGTACAGAATAGTAGTCTGATGATGTAGAATTATTAAAATAAAAATATAAACAGCTCACCACATGTTTATTGGGCACCTATTTTTGGCAGGTGATATTATAGAATAGGGCATGTTCCCTGCCTTCAAGTGTCCTTTGGCAGTGTCTAAGAGTCAGACCTAGTCACAGGAGGTCGTTAAATGTGCTTAACCAGAGGTATTTATGGAATATTATGAAGTGGATGTCTACATCCAGGAGTTAGAAGGGCTCCCTGGGTAGGTTATGTGCACCTTGGGCCTTGAGGGACTGACGTGATGTCTTCTGCATACAGACCAGGCTAGGTTCTTGTCCACACAGGCTGGGACTAGGAGACTGACTTTATCAGATAAAGTTGGGACTTCAAGGCTTTGCAAGAAGATACTGTTTGAGCTTAAGCAGGACATTTGACTTGCAGAAAAGGGGATAAAGAGTTTCTAGACAGGAGGAACAGCAGAGAGGAAGCTCAGAGATTGGAGCATGCTCAGTATTTTAAGGAAAAGAACGTCCTGTGGATGGAGCACGCGGAACATAAGGTGGAGACGATAGTGGAGAGAGTCAGCCAAAGGCCAGGTGAGTCCTGCAGCAACAGAGCCTGGAGCCACATTACAAAATTTGCACATTTTCTGCATTTCTGAGGAATCACTTGAGTATTTTTAGGTGGATATTTCAAGGTCAGATATGAGTTTAGAAAATATCAGTTTGACCTTGAATGGCAGATATAATCAAGGAAAGCCTCCCCAGCCATGTGGGACTGTGAGTGCATTTAACCTCTTTTTCTTTATAAATTACCCAGTATCGGGCATTTCTTCATAGCTGTATGAAAATGGACTAATACAGAGGAAATGAGATTAAATCCTACCCTAGTAGCTCTGACACCCCTCTTTAAGTGAGCTAGCATGGAGGTCAGATGCCAAAGCAATGAGTACGGAAACAAGAGGACAAGTCAGAGAGGACACAAGGTAACAATAAATGCAATAGTACACTGTGAGAGAGGGAGGAGGCCATATTCTTCTAGAACGGTTGGCTGCTTTTATTGTATAATTGCATAATAGCATATTCCCCTCCATTTCCCAGTAGACGGTAGAGCCGTTTCCTAGAAATTACAGAGCTACTGGTTTTTAGGCTGCCCAGGTTTAAAAAAAACTTTCAAATGGACTAAAGGATTTAACCCATATTTAGAGCTGCTTGATGCCAGTGAATCATCTCACTATCTTGAAAAGGCATAATATGTACATATGTTTTTCTTTACTTATTTGTCCTGAATTTACAAAATAACCTGGGCTGTAGTGGATTTTATGTTTCAATGTTTCTCATTCCTCCCACTTTTCAACGTGAATATTCTGATTTCTTTCTTTCCAGGGTGTGTGTTCATCACTGAGTTCCATTGTGGGAGGCAGAGGTCAGCCTGGTCCAATGCCCTGGGTAAAGACATGCACTCCGAGCAGCCCCCACCAACTCCTCTGTCCACCCTGATTCCATCCAGGACTGTCTCTTCCAAGATAAACCCATCTAGGATGGAGAATTGCAGCTGCTTGGTGGCCTTGAGTGAAAGCCAATGAAAAGTAAAACAAAGCACAAATGTTTATTTTTCTCACTTCGAGGATGATGCCATATTCTAAGTGTTTATGGCAGAAACCACAGCACTGGTCTCTCCAATATTACTAGTGAGTAAGTGTCCAGGACAAGCAATGGAATAATATGGAACAGCTGATGTCAAGGCCTTCCTCAGGATCCTCAAAGCGGTCTTTGAAAAAAGAATCTTAGAGCACAGAGGGCAAAGAGAGACCTCCCATTAGCCTCTTGGGAGGTGCTCCAGTAAATGGATTTTTTTAAAAATGCATTTAACTTTGATTCAGGAAACCTGATATTAAGTTCTAACTATATTAATGGATTTCTGCAGAATCAAAAATAGTCACGTAAGCTGAAAAATTCAAAATTGTGTAAAGGAAATAGTATTTATTTGTAGTGGCCACAACTCAGGCATATAAAAAAGAAACTGCAAGATTACGTGTCTATAACTAAACGGTCTGAAGCCGAGCTCTCATCATGTCAGAAAATGGAATATAGTATGCATCAGGGAAAAACCAGTCATTCATTTTAAAAGGCCCTTTCAGAATCTGCCCCTCCTTCTCCTCAGGGTAGAACTTACATCTCCAGCTTCACAAGGAACCTGTGTGTGGGCTTCGAGGGACAAGCTAGGTCCAAGGAGTTGTACTGCGTCATTCTCACTGCATTTCAGTTGGCCGTCCAGGCAATGCCACTCAGTGTGGGAGGGGACTGCCCAAGAGCAGGAGGCTCAGCTCATCAGGCCAATTGGGCCACGGGCTACCAGGAGGCTAGCATTCACAGAGTAAAGGGTGGTGGACAAGAAGAACGCTACCACGGTGAGGGTGTGCAAGGGATGTGGGAATTTGAGTCCTAGTCCCTTTAACTAGAGGGAGGTTTGTGACACCGCAGACAGGAGCAGTGGTGAGGGAGAAGCTGGCTGGCCCCCATCGAGAGGATGCCACACAGTAAGTGAATTATCAGTATCACTTAAAGAGGGGACTCATGTAGTTTTTTTAATACATGTTAACATTGGATTGTGGAGGAAGGGGGAAACATGGGCACTGAGCATTGCTATTTCTTTTAAAGAAAACGCAATTATCAACTGTACCCCAGTCAAGGGCTAAATGATGCAAGTGTGTCTCTGGCACTTTATATAAATTAAAATTAACAGTAGGTGGAAATCACAGGAACGGCTGTGTCGTCACCAGGAAAAGAGGTGCCAAGCCCACGTTCAGAGTCAATGAGACCCTGGAAGATTCCCAGCAATCAAGGAAGCTGTCAGCTTATTTACTTGGAATCCAGAAGTGTGACTTTGCTTTCATTACAGATAAGGAAGGCATCTACCAGGGACACAGTCACAAATGCTGTCTGGTGTAAAATGTCACAGTGAATGGTCTGTTCTCCCCTGAGACCTTGCTCTGTGGTCATAACTGGATACAGGAATCACTTTGGAATCCTCAAAAGCCCCAAGGCCTTGTGTTAAACCCCACGAGCATTTAGAGTCTCACGACCATGAAGCTGAATGTCAAGAGGAAAAGACAGATTCCAAAAGGGCCTCAAAGTGCCTCCCTGTTTAACTTGGCTGCCAGACAAGTCCGTTCATCTCCAGCAGAACAGAAGCGCCTTTTCAGGGAAGCGTGGCAGCTGCCGGCGGATACAAAGCAGCTCTGGGGTGGCTGAAGTCAGGAAACAAAGGCGGCCCCTCCGAGTGGAATCGCAGGAAGGAAACCTCTGTGGGGCAGCAGGAACAGCACAATCCCTGGAGAAGAGCCTAAGGTGCCCGAGGCCCTGAGACAGGCAGGGTGCGATGCTGGGTGTGTGACCTCAGCCATGGAAGGCCCACCTGCCACCGGGGACTTAGCCGTAGGGCCTGTGGCTGTGGAGGGAAAAGAGCTGGTCACTTGCTGGGGCTGGGAATGGGCAGTGATGAGCACGAGGACAAGAGGACTGTGACAGACACAGAAGGTAAAACCGCTGAGTACAGGCTGATCCACACCTGTGTCCAGGGAGAGGCCTCAAGTGCATTTGGAAATGCAGGAGGGCTTCCGGAAATCCTCACACACTGGCCACATATTCAAGTAGGGTGCTGTTGACTTGATTGTTTTTGCTGGTCCTGAAAATCTGACATGATTTGCGTTTATAAATGGGCGTTTGCAGTTGATGTAGCTATCTTGGAGAAATTTAACAAACAAGACCAGGTCCGCATCCCCACCTGAAAGACAAAGGAAAGCTGTAAAGGCAGGGCCTGCAGCTGCGGCTCACGGAGATCACTGCTCTTTTTACAGAAGTCGTCTCTGTGCTGACTTAAGGGGACACTGCGTCACCTCCAGGGAAAGATGCACTGGGGTCTTGACTTGCCATCAGGGTCCAAATACCCTCATTCTTCGGCCAGAGCATCAAGCACCTGACTGGGCTGGCACATTTGGACAAATCTCCACCTCCTTCCCAGGCCCAGCAGCGTCCGGAGCAGATCTAAGGCTGGCAGGGCACTCACACTGTAAGAACAGAGACTGTTCCCAGCGTCGGGGAGAGGCGATGAGAACACACAAACTCACTGCTTCTAACTGCTTTAGAACCAAGATTCTTTGTTTCATTATTTCACTTCAGGTACATTTTGAAGGTTCCCAGGACTCACAGAAGGACGTAGTGGGTGGCAGGGACACTAGGGGCCTCCCGATGCCGTTTCTAGACACTCGATAAAGTGACGGCCTTGGCTGATAACTCCATCCATGGGGATTTCATCCTCCTCAAAACCAAACAGGGTTTAGACCAGCAGATCTCTGACCTTTGCGGCTTTCAGATGAGAGCCTGGTTGATCATGGCTGGGCTGAATACTGATGATTTCACTTGTTCATCATTCACTCATTCCATGTGTCTCTAGGCCTGGAATGTGCGGGAAGGCTGGGGTAGCAGAGATCCCATGATGTGGCCACAGCTCTCAAGCAGCCTCCACTGAAATAGAGAGACAGACAACCACTCTTGATCATGTTGATATAATGAAGGTAACTTAGGTTTAACATATATGAGGAAAACGTGACCTCTGCGTGCCACCTTACAATTTGAATCATTTAGGACAGTGGCCATAAAAGAGTCCACACCAAAAACCAGTTAGAATAGCTGGGTACTTTGAGCCAAAGTATCTCTTAACACAGCTCCTTCTGCTTGGGAAGGAGAAGGTATCTCTTAACACAGCTCCTTCTCCAAGGGAAATCAGTAAACAGCTCCTCATATGAACAGGCAAAATTATACTCTTTCTCCCTTCTCTGCTATACTTTTGATGGGTTTTTAAACCCAGAGACAATTATAGGATCCAGTTCAGAAATTAGGACTTCTAAATAGTACCTTCCAAACGTGAAACAAAACCTTAATGAATGTCTGCCAAACGCTCTGAATGACATGTAACATTTTTCCAGCCATCAATTTGTGCATTTCCACATTTCACCATCTCATCGAGGTGTGAGGTGCAGGAGTGAGAACAGGTATGGTTCCGGGGTTTAGTTAATCTTCTCAAGTTCTTTCCTCTGATACATGGTGTCTACAAATTTCATGCTCGGGATTTTTAGTTGGAAATGCAGTTCTGTTTGTTGAAACAAAGGATGCCAGCTCCCACACAGTTCATGCACAGGGCATGTTATGTCCAGCTGGGCATCGAACCTCCCACTGATGGTCAGCCCCAGGAGCACAGCCCCTTGAGATGATTCCAGACAGCGACCTCCTGGAGCTGATGCTGCAGCAGCTGATGCTCAGTTTCCTCATCATCCAGCTCTGCCCTGTGCTGCCTCTGCTGTCCCTCTGGCTTGCAAGCTGCTCTCTGCTGGGCTATCTGCTTATTCTACTGGAGGCATCACCTGCTGTCTGCACAGAGTGAATGAGGGGTGACCGTCACTCAATTCCTTGGGCAAAGGTGGAAGGAAAGACCCCACATTACAGAGAAAATCCATACTCTGCTGTTATCAGATCATCATGGAGAGACTTGAAAGTCAAGGGTAATCGTAAGTGTCCCAGAAGGTCAGGTTTGAGAACCACAGTCTTGCAACAAACAGGGAGGAGCCCTGAACAGAGCAGCATTTGCTATGCTTAATTTGCCGAGGCAGCTGGAATAGTGGATAGTCCTGGAGGCTGAGGCTTGGGCAGGGCTCTCACCCCATTTACTCCATCAGGGAAGGGCAGGCGAGGTGGGGAAAGGCTGGGACCCTGCCTCCTATGCCTGCTGTGGGGTAACAGCCAAGTCCTGAAGGCATGGCTCCTCACTCCTAGCCGAGAACACCTTTGGCCTCCCTGGAACCCTGTTCCTGGCTTTTCCTTCCATCAGCTGGCATGAAAATGTTTATCAAGGATTGCTGCTCACACGGCTTTCAGGGGTCCTTGAAGAAATGCTGGTTTCTACGTTGTATTTATTGCAAGAGCAGGATCGCTTGAAACTTAAAGCTGAGGACTGACACGAGACTAAATTGCACAAGCCATTTCATTCCCAAGTGTCCCAGCAAATCCACATCTCAAGTGCCCGATGTGAGAAGCTGTGTGTGTAGAGCTGATACGCGTCCTCTCTAACCCTTACCGCTCCTGTGCTAATGAAGAAAGCTGAATGCAATCACTATGGTAATGAGGTACACCGTGCACCCTCAGCTTCCCTCTGTGTTCAACAGCCTCCGACAGGGCAGACTCCACACGGGCTGAGGCTGGGACCGAAGGCTGATGACTCAGCAGAGCACACAAGTGTGTGTATGTGTATGTGTGGTGACTGTGTGTATGTGTGTGAGAGGGATAGTGTGTATGTATGAGCAAAAGATTGGATGTGAGTGTGTGTCAGATTTCTAGTGCATGTCTGTGATCCTGTGTGACTGTCAATGTACTTTTGTGAGTGTTTTGTGAGAGTGAGGCTGTGTTTTGTGAAAGCATGTGTGACTGTGACTGTGTGTGTGTGTGTTCTGGGGGGATGCAGAAGTAAGAAGGGGATGGAGACAGTCTCTTACATACTTCCCCAGGAAATGTGGACACTGGAATTTCGCCCAGTCCATGGATGTGTGTCTTGCTGAAGCTTTACTCTGCTCCCAGAGGCTTAGGAAAGTGGTATGGCCACCCTTCAAAATGAAAAATGACAGCCCTTTAAACAGCACTCCTGGGGTTCCTGCTCATCCTTGCCCTGCAGGGCCTCAATCTTGGTGGCAGCTCTCAGCTCATGACATGGTTCCCTTATCAATGGAAAGAAAGCCAGGTATAAACGTTGTACAATCTTCTTCTTATTTAATTTTTCAGCCTGTCTTTTTAATCTCTTCAGAAAAAGAAAGAAGAAAGAAAGAAAGAAAGAAAGAAAGAAAGAAAGAAAGAAGGGGAAAAAGAGAGAGAGAGGGAGGGAGGGAGCAAGGGAGGGAGGGAGGAAGGAAGGAAGGAAGGAAGGAGGGAGGGAGGGAGGGAGGGAGGGAGGGAGGGAGGGAGGGAGGGAGGGAGAGAAAAAGACAAAATAAAACTTTAGAAAAACATTATTTTTGAAATAAAATGAAATGATTTAGAAAAGTTGACTTGCTAATTTGAGATTCTGCTTTCATACACCTATTAAAGCAACTCAAGCAACAAAATCAGCACAAAAGCACAGAGATTTCTGAATTAGCTGTTTCTGTTTTGCCCTGAAGAAATACCCCATAGCTGGGTGCTGAGAGCTTGTTGGAGGCTCTAACCCGGAGCTTGGCTGCCATTTGCCGGCCTCGAAGGAGGAGCATTCCTCCTCCTCCTCCTCCTCCTCTGTGGAAGGCCTTTCCCAGGAGGTTTTGCAGGGAGCAGGGGGAGGACAGGGCCACACAGCCAGCTCTTCTGCCAAATCTCTCTGAGGAAACAAGTTATGACAGCTTGGGTCCAACAAAACAGTTTCTTTCAATCCAGGACTTTCTGTAGAAGAGGGAAATGTGTTCACTTAGGGGGCAAGCAACCATACAGAAACAGGAAGCAAGCATACAGAAACAGGAAGCAA